AGTGAAGGAGGCTTCCCACATTACATAAGACCATAGGTGGAATCATGAACCCCATCCAGAATCTTCTGCGGTGGGAAATTTCCACTTGAAAGGACAATCAGACCAGCAGAGCAGCTAGAAGAACACAAGATACTTCTTGAAAGAAAGACCGACAGGAAAAATACAAAACAATAATGGCAGTCCAACTGACTACTACAAGAACAAGCAAGTTGCTCACCCAGGAGACATCAAGGCAAGTGGTCAGATCCCCTCAGGACAAATCTCCTTCCAAGACTAAGACTCAATGGGAATACATGAGCAGACATTCGCTTTAACTGGTTACCACATTGGTCATCGATAAGGGAAAGTGAAGGAAAAACAGCAATGAAGCTGTGAGCTAAGTCCTACCACGTTCAAAAGACTCCTGTGAACCTGGGTAGAGAACTGGTTGGCCAGAAGTATGGTAAGACCTGGAGACTCCTGGGCCCAGAATCAGTGACATAGCCACAGAGGACCAGTATGGAGAATGAAGTGTCCAGCCAATAAGAAGAGAGGGCATATGCATAAGATCACCCACACTTGCATATAATACTCACTTGACCTGGCTTCAAGGCTGGATGATCAGAACTCAACTAGAAGAAGAAAGAAGAGGAAAAAAAGAGTAATCTGATACAATTTAATGAAGCTGACCTAAACCTATGGCTGCAGTAGCTCAAAAGAGAGACCAAATCATTACAGTGAGGATCATTTCCACCCCCTTCATACACAGGGTAGACACGAATGGGCAACTTGGACATTGGCTACTCAAAATGGGGGAGGGGGACACATAGGCAAGAAGTGACTGGCTTACAAGCTTTCAAGAGGGAACCTAGATCCAGAGGGCATGGAGGAAGGTAGAATCTCCTTGGCGGGGCTGATGAAAGGAGATGGGGATAGGACTCTTGTGGTACAATAGTGAATAATTGTTATCAGGCCTGACTGTGAGGGTTGGAAATGTAAAGGTAGACATTTCGTATCAAGTGGAGGGGAGTGGTTGACTTTGCAGTCTAGAAGCAGAGGTCCCTGGGACCATCAAAGGAGAAGAGCGGAGTGCGGGACCCTACCTAGAGAAACAGTGACGCCAGAGATAGAGGCAGAGACAATGACATGTAGCGATGGAGCGGCTGGGGACTCTAGACCCAGAGAGGGAGAGAGGCTGTGTGCTGACAACTGGGGGGCAGGCCTGCAGGGTATACCCTTTGGTTGGTTGATGATGCATGGAGGGGATTGTAACCATGGCAATGAAACAGTATACAATAGGATGAATGTAAAGCTAATGTTCTCCCTGTAAACTATCACATAATTCACAATAAAACATTTAAAAACAAAAACAAACAAACAAAAAATACATTTAATATACCCTAGGGAGTCCTAGTGTGGCACTGTAGGATAAGCACTGACCACAAGGTCAGTTAGAACCGCAAAGTTGGCAGTTCAAACCAGTCGCTCCTTGGAAACCCTAGACAGGGCCACCATAGCTCAGAACCGGCTGTACACTGGTACATACACTCACCAAGGAGATTTTGTACATCACTAGTAGAAATCAGTCGTGTACAAAAATAATAGAGTTGCTATGTAACAACAACAAAGGAGTCTTGCATAAAATACAGGTTTGCTATCTATGAGTTGGAAGCAACTCATTGGCACTTAACAACAACAGTAGAAATAAGACAAGGAAAAAGAAATTTCTTCTAATTTTGTTTTTTCCCCAATTCAATGTCCTTATCATACACTACATTGTACCGACTGTTTTCCATGAAAACTATGAATTTGTGTGTTTGTTTTTAGAAAACTGGAGTTTTCAAAATAGAAGTGATTCCAAGGGGAAAAAAGATCCATAGCACAAACAGATGAACACACTCATGTTCATTACAGCAAAGTTCCCATGAGGATGGAAACAGCCGAGTGTCCATCCGTGAAAGAGCGGATACATAAACATGGTACATACACTCACCAAGGAGATCTCAGTACCAGCCAACATAAAAGAATAATGATGAATCTGCACACCACCTTATAACATGGGTGAACTTGGAGGCTGTTAAGTTCACTAATCAGTTCCTATTTAGCTTAGTGAAATAAGTCAGTCACAAAAGGGCAGATATTGTGTAAGACCACTGTTGTAAAAAAAAAAAAAAAAAAATCACCGTGAAAGAATTCTTGGATGGCTACCAGGATTGGAAGGGAAAAGGAGGGGTGGGGTAGAGAGAGAAAGGTAGAGAGAGCGGGTCACTGGCTACCAGGCTTATTGTTTAGTGCTGCCCAGCCGGCTGGACTCATTGTGACCCTGTATAGTGTTACCAAGAGAGCAGCTGGTGAATTCGAACCGCTCACCTTGCGGTTCAAACCTACCTTGCAGCCCAGTGCATCACCCTGCAGCATCACACCACGCTAGAAGGTAGACATGGGTTATCTTGGCTTAAAGGGAATTGGTGTTTTTTGTTTTTGTTTTTTAATCTAAAAGGAAAAACAAATAGAGGGTCAGAGAAAAAAGAGGAAAGCCCCACAATGAGATGAAATGATGCTGTTGAACCCTGTTGCTACGACATTGGGCTGAAACATAGTAACAGTTTTAATGATTGTAGTTCCAGGCAGTGCCTTGTTCTCTGGTGCAGAGTCTTAGAAGTAGGAGCCAAGTCAGTGACACCTAACAGTAAGGACAACAAAGCCTCTCTAAAAGCAATGTCTATTTTAAAAAACTAAACGGTTTTCTCTAAAAAAAAATTTAATAATATTAACAAAGTTATTCTCTCACAATTTTGGAGACTAGAAGTCTAAAATGTAGATTCAGCAGGGCCATACTCTGACAGCTTTAGGGGAGGACCCTTCCTTGCCTCCTCTTCACTTCATGTGTTTGCCAACAATCCTTAGCATTCCTTGGTTTGTAGATATCACTCCTATCTCTGCGTGTCACGACATGGCGTTGTCCTTGTGTGTGTGTGTCCAAAGTCTTTCTGTCTTATGACACTGGCGCACGGTGGCTCCATACAATACACACTGGAATGCAAACCTTAAGGTCTATGGTTCAAGCCCATCCGCTGCTCTGAGGCAGAGAAATGAGGCTTTCTACTCCTACAGAGATTTAAAGTCTGGGAAACCCTTTGTAGGTTTGCTGAGTTGGAATCAACTCGACAGCCCTTTACAACAATATAGGGACACTTGTTGTTGTTAGGTGCCATCAAGTCAGCACTGACTTACAGCAACCTTATGCACAGCAGAACGAAACACTGCACGATCCTGGGCCAACCTCCCTATTGCTGCCACGCTTGAGCCCTTGATGCTGCCACTTATTGTATTTTGTTGTTGTTAAGTGCAGTCGAGTTGGTTCCGACCCATAGCGACCCTGAACAAGGTTTCCGAGGTTGTAAATCTTTACGGGAACAGAAAGCCTCATCTTTCTCCCGCGGAGCAGCTAGTAGTTTTGAACTGCTGATCTTGAGGTTTGCAGCCCAATTCGTAACCACTACGTTACCAGAGCTCCTTGTTGTTGTTGTGTGCTTTGGAGTCGGTTCCAACCCATAGCGACCCTGTACAGGGTTTCTGAGGCTGTAAATCTTTACGGGAGCAGAAAACCTCATCTTTCTCCCGCGGAACAGCCGGTAGTTCCTTAAGGCCTATCTAATATGACCTTAACGTGACTGTATCTTCAAGTACCCTAATTCTTAATGAGCTCACATTCTTAGGTTCCAGGTGGATGTGAATTTTGAGGGGACCCTATTCCACCCAGTACAATTAGTGATTAAAGTGGACAAGGCGGGCTTTTCAAATGTGGAAATACTGTTTATTAGGTGTTTTTTTTTTTTTATCTGAATGTCAGTTGCTCGTGTGTATTGCTTGCATTGCTATGAATGTATAATTTCAATAAAAAGTTCAAAAAGAATCCGTTCCAGGTGGATTGTCGAGCTAAATGAGAAAAGTGAAACAATTAAGCCTCTGTTGTGGTTGCTAAGTACTGTCATTTCTGACTCATAGTCACCCAGTGTATAGGGTTCCCAAGGAGCAGCTCGTGGGTTTGAACTGCCAACCTTCAGTTTCACAGTCCATTGCTGATCCTAGAACTATAAGGAGTCCTGGGGTGGCGCTGTGGGCCAATGTGATGGACTGCAAAGCCGGTTTGAACCACAAGGTCAGCGGTTCAAGCTCACCAGTCGCTCCTTGGAAACCCTATAAAGGGTTGTTATGGGTGGAAACCGACTTGACGGCACTTAACATCAACAAACGTTAGGGATGGGTAATTTCTTAAACAAGACACATGTTGTTGTTGTTGTTATGTGCCGTGGAGTCGATTCCGACTCATAGCGACCCTGCACAGGGTTTCCGAGGCTGTTAATCTTTACGGGAGCAGAACGCCTCATCTTTCTCCCGCGGAACCGCTGGTAGTTTCGAACTGCTGACCTTACGGTTCGCAACACATACAACCCACAAATAATAAAGGACACTGAACTGGCCTGTACAAAATTAGAAACTTCTGTTCATCAAACAGTATTGAGAATGAAGATGAAAATCCACCAGAATATATAAAGAATTCCCACAAGTCAATAATTAAAAGGCAGACAACCCAATAGGAAAAAAAAAAATTATAGGCAAAAAACTCTACTAGGCACTTCACAAAACAATGGCAATATGCTACAACGAACGCTACATCTGTTCCGGCTCCACTCAGAATTGCAGAATTGCCTGGGACCGGTCGGAGCCAGGGAAGGGTCCAGGACTTAAGATCCCTGTCCTGGTGCTGGCCCGAGATACAGCATGAGAATGCGGGATGGAACGATCGCTTATGACTATAGGACACAAAAGCCTGGCATCCGGAGCCTCCATACTCGGGCTACATACCAGGAAGTAACGCAGAACTAGTGACGTCATCAAAAAAGCGCCAGGCCCTTGGGAAATAACGAGCCGGAGGCGTGGCCTTTAGATTGCTTCTGCCTGACCGCCGAGCTGCGCGCGCATGTATCAATTGGCACTGCCTGGCGGAGGGACGCGGAGCACGCTGGGACGTCTTGTCGGCGCGAAGCAGCGGGCCGGGGCGCCTGCAGTCAGGGGGCGGCAGGATGGTGAAGCTGACGGCTGAGCTGATAGAGCAGGCGGCGCAGTACACCAACGCCGTGCGGGACCGAGAGCTGGACCTCCGAGGTGGGTCCGGGGACCGGGCAGACCGCCTCAGGACTTCGCAGTCGCGCCCTGCCGCGTGTGCCTGGGGTGCCGAGCTGGGCTGGGCGCTGGGACTGCCCCGATGTCGGCCCGCCTGGCCGATGGTAGTTTCTAAAAGCATTCTTCCCGTTGTTTCCGAAGGACCGTCTCGCTAGGCTCTCTCTCTTACTCACTTTACCCCTGGGCCTACATTTGGCCATGCGTGACGAGTTTGGCACGTTGAACTCTGTGCGCCGGGAAATTGTACTAATTAATGGTTGTGCCCCTCGAGCAAGGCGATTGGTTGCTTGTTACTAAGTAAATAAATGGTAATGTGAGAGTGGATCGGGTGCGCGTTATTATCCTGAGTTTATGAAGCAGGAAACGAAATCCGGGAACAAAACTGATTGCTTCCTTTCACTAGTATTCTGTTAGCTTCCGTTGTCGTAGATTTGCCTTTTATCAAAACATTTTAGACGTTTGAACAGTTTCAAGACTTGCTCCTGGATTGTTCTAACCACACTTCACTGATTCCTGTAGTCTCACCCCTGTTAGGTTGTAGTGGCGCTGTGGGATCAGCACTGGACCGGAAGGTCGGTCTGAACTGCAAAGTCGGCAGTTCAAACTCACCAACCGCTCTTATACAGGATCGCTATGAGTCGGAATCGACGCAAGGACACTTAACACTAACAATGTCCTTCCTTACGGAGTCCTGGTGTGGTGCTGTAGGATCAGCACTAGACCCGTAAGGTCGGAGGTTCAAACCCACCAGCCGCTCCTCGGAAACCCTATACAGGGTCGCTGGGAGTCAGAACTGACTCCTGTTGGTAAGAAACTGGGAGTACAATAAGAATTTAGCATTTCAGGAGATGACTTAGAAAGGATGGGACCGCAGCTTCTCCAGATCAATCCTGGTCCACCTTGACTGTGTTGGTGCTAGTGAATCTTGACCTTCTATTTCTGAGGTGCGCCAGTGTAAAGTTTACTTGTTTGCGAGTCTATGTAGGTTTCCAAGGAGCAGCAGTCCAGTGCTGATCCTACAATGCCACACCAGGACTGACCTTTTTTAAAAATATAATTTATTTTCGTTTTTGTTGTTGAGACTATACACAGCAATGCTTTGATGTAATTCTTACAGCCTTGAGCTGTACTTCCTTTCCTTTAGCACCTGCTGTTAAGTGCAGTGGAGTCATTCTGCCTCATTACCCCTGTTTAGGGTTTCTGAATATCAGCTGGTAGGTTAGAACCACCGACCTTGAATTAGCAGTCCAGAGCTTATCCTACAGCACCATGCCTATATTGGACAAATCAGTGAGCATTTGTTGAGTGAATTGTTACACCATGCGGCTCACCATTGTGTGTAAACCATTGATTCAGTTCTAGATTGGAGCAGGCACTTCATTAAAGAAGTTATTAAAATGAATAGTACGCACACAAGGTTTTCAAATTATTTATTAGAGAATAGCAAATCAAAGTAATAATATACCACTATATACCTACCTGAGTCACTATAGTTATGGGCAGGCACCAGTTTTGGTGTTCTGATGTGGTGCTATAGAATAAGCATTGGACTGCTAACCACACTGTCGGTGGTTCAAACCCACCGGCTGCTACCTGGGAACCCCTATAAGTTGGAATACACTTGACAGCACTTAACAACAGCCAGGCCATGAGACTGTCCTGAAGAGTTCTAAGGGTCTAGCCTGTATTCATGCAGAAGAGGTTGAGAACTATTAACCACAATATATGAACAAAGGTTGGGCCGTGAAAGTAGTTAAAACTATAAATTCCTGTTATGCTACTTAGAATTAGCTTTAGTATCCTGATTAAGTCAGAGAGTCTGCGTTTCCTCATTTCATTTTTAATGGGTGAAAATCTTACAACTCATCATGTGGGTCAAAATGGGAAAAAATCGGAAGCACCTTGTAAATATGAAGTGGCATTGTCGTAGCCCTTTCCCTTGATGTCATTGTCACCATCAAGTATCTGTGGCCACTGCTAGCTTGTAAGTTTCGTGATGGCTAGACTGACTTTCTTATTCAACTTCTCATGTCCAGTGTCTTAACACAATGTTTGGCAAGTCATTTGTTACATCTGAAGTGCTGGTGTGGCACCATAGGATACACAGTGGACTCTTAATCTTAACCACAAGGTCTGCATTTCAAACCCACTCACTGGAGACCCTATACAGGGTTACTATGAGTCATAACCGACTCAACAGTACTTAGCAAGATGTTCTAAATAGACACTTTTTCAATGATACTTAAGTAAAATGACAGTGAAACATTGCTAATGTTACAGGGTGGGTTTTAATTATGAAAAAATGACCTCTTATATTCTTTCCTTTTTTCTCTCTCTCTTCCACTCTCCTCTTTTACAGGTTATAAAATTCCTGTCATTGAAAATCTAGGTGCTACCTTAGACCAGTTTGATGCTATTGATTTTTCTGACAATGAAATCAGGAAACTAGATGGTTTTCCTCTGTTGAGAAGACTGAAAACATTATTAGTGAACAACAACAGAATATGGTAAGTATCTCATATTCTCTGCCATTTGTATTTAGCAATAATTGTTTTTTTAAATACAGGAAAAAGATAACAGTCTAGGTATTGTCTTTAGAAAGTACTGGGTGGTGTAGTTTTGGTCTTTTAAAATAGCAATTGTTGTTGTTAAGTTCCATCAAATCAGTTCCAACTCTTAGCGACCCTGGATTAGGGTTTCTGAGGGTGTGAACCTTTGCGGGAGCAGATAGCCTTTCATCTTTCTCCCACAGAACGTCTGGTGGGTTCGATCCACCAACCTTGTAGTTATCATACAGAGCCACTGCACTCCCGTTAAATAAGCATATTTCTCATAAATTAACCATCCATTTATGGTATAGTTGTTGCATGTCTGGTAGCTGGGCTGCGTATGCAGAATCGTGTTTCTTCTGTGCTGTGTGCACAGAAAAGTGATGAAGTGAACCTTTAAGAGCCTCCTTTCCTAGATTTCACACAAGTCAGTCACTGTGTAATGAAAGAGCTCTCCACAACTTTTCGGGAGGCATCCCATTCTGTCATTGATCTCACATTGAACAAGGTTTCCTCTGTGTACCTCATGGCCCCCCGTCAAATAGGTTGTCGGAAGAAGAACCCCAAAGGTTCCTTCCAGCCCTGAAGTCTGAAATCTATGGAGTACGGATTTTGATCAAATTGTTAGCTTACTGAATTTTCACTTGTAATTAAAGGGTCATTCTGCTCTCATTTTTAGCCGTATAGGTGAGGGACTTGATCAGTCTCTACCTTGTTTGACAGAACTCATTCTCACCAACAACAGTCTTGTGGAACTGGTAAGTTGACCAGGGAAAAATATATTGAGGGTGGGGGGCGGATTTTAAAGGTTTACATACACTCGTATGTAAGGAGCTCTGGTAGCATAGTGGTTATGAATTGGGCTGCGAACCTTAAGGTCAGCAGTTTGAAACTACCAGCTGCTCCGTGGGAGAAAGATGAGGCTTTCTGCTCCCATAAAGATTTACAGCCTCAGAAACCCTGTACAGGGCTGCTATGGGTCAGAACCAACTCCATGGCACTTAACAAAAACAGCAACACATACTCGTGTGGTGCTGTGGGTTAATGCACCAGACTGCAAAGGCGTTTGAACTGCAAGGTTGGTTGCTTAAGCTCACCAGCTGCTCCTTGGAAACCCTGTACAGGGTCGCTATGGGTCTGAATTGACTCGATGGCACTAACAACAACAATATGTACTTAGAGAAAATTCAGAGAGAAAAAAAATCAAAATGCATTCTATTACCCTTTTTCACAGTCAATTCAGAGTCTGGATGTTTGCGGTTATATACATTACAAATATCTTCTCATTCTGTAGCTTGCTTTTTTTATTTTAGCATGTTTGATAGAGAAGTTCTGAATTTTTTATTTTAGCATGTCTGATAGAGAAGTTCTGAATTCTAATGTAGTCCATTGTCAGTGCTTTTGATGGTTTGTAAAAGCTTTTCCCCCAAGGTCCTTAAAAAAAACCCTCCTATCTTGGTGTGTAGTGGTTACAAATCATCGGGCTGCTAATGTCAAGGCTGGCAGTTCGAAACTACCAGCTGTTCTGCAGGAGGAAGATGAGGCTTTCTGCGTCCATAAAGCCTCAGAAATCCTGTGTAGGGTCACTATGAGTTGGAACTGACTCCACAGTACTTACCAACAACAACAGCATCCTGGTGTGTGGCTCTGTGGGTTAATGCACTGGACTGCAATGTCAGTTTGAACTACAAGGTCTGTGGTTCAAGCTCACTAGCTATTCCTTAGAAATCCTATACAGGGTCATTATGGATCAGAACCGACTCAATGGCACTTAACAACAACATGTTTTCTAAAACTACCAGATGGTATCCAATTGTTAAGTGCTTTTGAGTCGGTTCTGACCCATAATGACCCTGTGTAGTGTTTCCAAGGAGCGACTGGTGAGTTGGAACTGCCGATGTTGCAGTTCACACCACCCATGAGGTCCATTCCACTGTCCCACAGCACCACACCGGGACTTCAGTCTGGTAGCCACTAACCTCAACAGACCTGAAGGCACTGAACAGCCACCTAAAGCAAACATGTCACCATCCAGTCAGTTCTGACCCAGAGTGACCTAACCAGACAGAGCACAACTGCTGCATTGAGTTTCCAAGGCTGTGAGTCTTTCCAGAAGCAAACTTTCCCAAAGTGTGGCTAGGGGGTTCAAACTGAAGTGCTTTAGCCATTGTGCTACCAGGGCTACTGTTACTCCCATAGTTTGAATTTTGAGATGTTCTAGTAGTAATAAACTACATGGTGCTATTTGAGAACAATACAAAAACCAAATGGTCTCAATATTTTTTTGCTTGCATGTTGAAATGGTAGTTGAATTAAAATATTAGAATGCGTGAAGGACATCTGGTGATGCCATAGTTAAGCACTTGATCACTAACTGAGAGGCTGGTGCCGATGGCTGCGAAAGACAAGCCTCTAGGGATTATACCCAGAACCTCTGGGGCACTTCTACTCTGTCACATGGGTTGCTACTTGGTGACATCGCTGAAAAAACAAGAGCAGTATAAAATTAGTTTATTCCTTTATTCACTCTGTTTTAATGTGCTACTGAAAAATCTAAACTTTACTGTTTTACTTTTTAACTTTTTTGTGTGAAATGAGTGAAGGATTACAGACCAGATCATGGGTCCCACATCCAACAGAGTATACACTTGGGGTCACTACTGTGATTGCAGTCCACTCCAGGTACCATCTTTTCACAGATTTATACACTTGGGGTCACTACTGTGATTGCAGTCCACTCCAGGTACCATCCGCTCACAGATTAACCTCCAGTCATTTCATTTATTCCCGTGTCTTTGCTGTGTCTCACACACACAGTGTATTTCATATTTCACTCTTTACATTCAGATCAATAGTTACCTGGAATTGATTATTTTGTTGTTGTTTTTGGGTAACTTTTCCTTGTGTTTTGGGAATCCTGGTGTGGCGCTGGATTGCTCAAGACAGGGTTGCCAGTTCAAGTCCACTAACTGCTCCTTGGAAACCCTATACAGGGTTGCAGAGTTGGAACCGACTTGACATCACTTAACAGCAAATACAAAGCAGCTTATTATTTTCCCATTCAGCAACTCATACACATTGTGTTTCATGTGATTGATTGCCATCCTTAACCAAGTAACAGCTCTCACCCACGTCCTCCTCTTGTTTCCCATGTCCATTCTTCCTTCCCTGTCCCTTCCCAGCTTTCTGACCTTGGGTTCTGAGTCACTGCTGCCTTTGTGATCTCATATAGTTGGTGGTTGTAAAGAGTGCCTGCCTCCTATTACAGTTCCCCTTACAGACCTGTTTACTGTGTGGTTGGAAGCTGAATTCAGGGGTAAGTTCTATTCTGAGCCTGCTCTTGGGGCTCCACCAGCCTCTTTCCAACCATTGAACCTGCTCTTTGTTCTTATTTTGAGTTTTAAACTGTTCCACCTTTTTCTCCCACTCTATTCAGGACTTTTCTACCTTGATCCCTTTCAGAGTGGTCAGTAGTGATAGCCAGACACCGTCTAGTTCTTGTAGTTCCTGAATCATGGAGGCTAAGGTTCCCCTGGTCCTTTGGACTAATTCTTTTTACAGATCCTTGATTTCTTCACTCTTACCTCTGGATGGTGAGAGACCAGTAGTTTCACCTTGTTGTTAAGTGCTGTTGAGTTGCTTCCGACTCATAGTGACTCTGTACAGGGTTTCTGAGGAGCAGATGGTGAGCTTGTAACACCGACCTTGTGGTTCAAACTGACCTTGCAGTCCAGAACACTAGCCCATATAGCGCCACACCAAGACTCCAGTTGAACTGATATTTTTGTAAGATAGAGGCAAGTTATTTCAGCTGTTTTGTCTAATGGTGCTTCACAGAGTTCTTAGAAAAAAGCCATTCTTGTATCCATTTTACATTTTTCCACAAACTGTTTTAAGCCCCCTCATACAACTTTTTTTTTTTTTTTTGAGTGGAGCTGTGTAGGCGTGAGGGTTAGGGTTGTGACTATGGCCTAAGACTTTGTTTATTGTTAGGGTACTACTTTATGTTGTTGTTAAGTGCCGTCGAGTCGGTTCCGACCCATAGCGACCCTGTATAGGGTTTCCGAGGGTGTAAATCCTTACGGGAGTAGAAAGCCTCATCTTTCTCCCGCGGAGCGGCTGGTAGTTTCGAACCGCAACCCCTGTATAAAGTTTCCAAAGAGCAGCTGCCAACCTTGCAGTTCAAACGGTGTTACAGTCTGGTGCATTAACCCTCAGCGCCACACTTTATACTAGGGTTGGTATTAAGGGTAAGGGTTAGGCTACGCTTACGAGGAAGACTCAGTCTAGTTTTTAGGGTTACAGTTAGGATTGTTTTAATTTTTTCCTTGAAATTTATTTGGTTTCCTTTACATTTTCAAATTCTACAACTACATTATTCCCTATTTTCACTTTATGGGTTTTTGTGGTTGCAACTGTGTCTCTGGTTCTTTATTTTCCGTGTTACAGGTCGGGTTTACTTTGCATGCATCTATATCTGGGTTGAGTCTACGTGATGCTGTCATGTAATTTAGTCTGAGGTTATTGTCTGCTATTGTTGGTTCTCCAGAGAACTCTCTGTAGTATGCTTTGTAAGGTTGGTCTAGTTTTAACAAATTCTTTTCATTTGTTTGTCTGAAAATGGCCTAATTTCGCCATCGTGCTTGATTGACAGTTTTGCTAGATAAATGATTCTTACTTGTCGGTAGTTTTCTTTGAGAGTTTTATATGTGTTTACCGTTTCCTTCTTCGAGTCCTGGGGTGGCGCTGTGGGTTAATGTGCTGGACTGCACAGTCATTTTGAACCACAGGGTTGGTGGTTCAAGCTCACCAGCTGCTCCTTGGAAACCCTATACAGGGTCGCTGTGGGTCGAAACTGACTCGACAGCACTTAACAACAACATTGCCTTCTTGCCTGCCTGGTTTCGGCTGAGAAATCAGAGCTTGATCTTACTAGTTCTCCGTTGTAAGTAACTTTTCAGTTTTTCTGAGCTGTTCTCAGGATATTTTCCTGGCCTTTGGTTTCTAACAACTCTTGCACAATATTCTCTCTGGAGTTTTTGTCTCTTCCTGTTCTGGAATTCCTGTCACAAGGTAAGGTAGTCCTCTTGATGGTGTCCCACATAAATCTTAGGCTTTCTTTGGATTTTTTGGTTCTTTTTTTCACGTTATTTCTTTAGCAGATGAGTACTGAGAGCTTTTTAAGTTCAGTAAATTCAGCTTTCTGATGATTCATTTCTGTTATTTCCCTTTTGGGGGGATAGGCTTCTGGCTTTCTAGTTGCTGCTTTTCTATGGTTCCTGCTTTTTTAAATGAACTTTCTCTGTTTCCTGAATTTTTCCAGTTCTGTGTTCCTTGATTTCATCTGTAGTTTTCTCATTGTTTCTCACAGTCCAGTGAAGTTGCCTAATTCGCCCTTACCGAATGGTTCTGAGACCATTTCTGTATTTCGGTCATGTCCTATGAGGCACTCTGTCTTGTTTCTCTGTGTAACCTGAGACGGTCGGTTTTCTCTGACACTGTGGTATTGTGTTTATACTTCATTGGTGATTGTATGTTGATGTGTTCTCAGGCACTCACCACCTGTCTCCTGGTGGTCTAGTATAGACCAGAAGTGTGGATGCAGTTGGTTCTCTGTTCACTGTTTATGTAGCAGTAGTTGAGGTGGGTTCATACGCAGCCCAAGGCAGGGGCGCCAGACAGAGCAGAGGCTGCACACAGGGCTGCCACTGATCACTGGGTTGGCAAGGGTGGGGAGGCACAGGAAGAAGGGAGATTGGTCCCCTTTGGCCACCAGCCTGCAACTGTATTCTCTGCCCACTGGCCACAGTGCCATCTGTCACTCATGAAAGCTCAAGATGACCGTGTGGCCCACACCAGGCCGCATTGTGCGGGTCTTCCCTCCCTCGCTGCTCCTGTTGTGACCTCCCGCTGCTCGGAGCTCAGCATCACTGTCTGTGTCCGTTTTGCTCCAGCTTCTTTGTCTTTATTTGCAGAGGGTCGTCTGCATCTGCGTACTGTGCGGTCTTGCCATAGACTCTCCCTCATCAGTGTCAACCCAATTCAGCTCATGCTGTGTGTTCTGTAAGCTTTTTAATTTTAACTTAAAATGTTGAATGGGTTTTGTGTGATCCGGAGGTATTCTGACCTTACCCCTTTTCCTTGTTTCAAATGGACTGTATTCCTTTTCCTCTGGACTCAGTACACAGCTTCCCTTGGATTCTTAAAGGGGTGCTACCTCCAAAAGTAAGCAAGCACTGCTCCGAGGTTGTCTCCCTCCTAAAATGTGAGAAGAAGGCATTTCAGGGTGCTCACTCAGCTGCCCAACAGTCATTTCGTTTAATCAACCACAAGGAACCCCTTTCCCAAATGCAAACAGCCATGAAGTGTAAGGTTTGAAGTAGTCGACCCAACATGCACATGCCTAGAGAATGTGTTGTTTGATGAGAGCTGTTAGAGAAATTATAGTTGTTTTTAAAGGTCTTTGCGGTGATAAAGGAGGTGTTTTAACATCTCAGTGGGATGGTGGATTTGACTATCTAGCTCAATAGCTGGAGTTCTATCAATGTTAGTTCTATAGACCTTGAGTTTCCCTGTGTGAAAAGCTTAATGCAGTGTCATCAGTTTTGATACTTCTCACTTTTAAGCTCAGTAGCCCTTTAGAAATTGCTGCAGGAAATCCATTCTTTTGTCTCTCTACTGTTGATATAGATAGTACTTGTTAATGCCAAAGAGTTTAATCTTTAAGAACCTCACATTTACTCTCCAGTTTATTCCGAATCTCTTCTGTGCTAGTGTTGTGCTGGGCGCTGGAGCTATAAAATAAATAGGTGTAATGGGGTCTTGCTTCAAAGGCACCTGCCTGTGTTGACGTTCTTACTGTGACGGTTCTTTTACAGGGCGATCTGGACCCTTTGGCCACTCTCAAATCACTGACTTATCTGAGGTTAGTAAACTATTTGTGTTCGCATTACAGTCTTGATTTAAAGTAATCATTTACTGAGTGTCTTTTTAAAACATCTTGAAAATGTTCCTTTGGGCTCCTAATGTGACTTCGAGCACCCTGGTAATCTAAGGGTGAAGCACTCAACTGCTGAGTAAAGGTTGGTTTGAAAACCCACCCAGTGCCTCCGTGGGCAAAAGACCCAACCATCTGCTCCCCAAAGATCACAGCCTAGAAAGTCCATCTATGGGGCAGTTTTCATCATGGCACATGGGGTTCCCATGGATCAGTGTTGACTTGGCAGCACGTGACAATAGCAGCGTTTCTTAAATTGCTAGGAAAAGTAGTGAGGTTGCCTTGGTTTCTAGGTTCATTCAACTTTATGAAAGTGGGCTTGGAATGCTACGCTCGGCCATGAACAATGTTAGCTTTATGTTGTTCCTTTTCTCCTAGTATTCTGAGAAATCCTGTAACAAATAAGAAGCATTACAGACTGTATGTAATTTATAAAGTTCCACAAGTCCGAGTGCTGGATTTCCAGAAAGTGAAATTAAAAGTAAGTGTCACTATTACTCTGTTGACTGGGAGTTGTTGTTAAGTTCTGCGTTGTCTTTATAAAGCTGGTAATTAAAATGTGGGAACGAAAATTTCATAGCCGAGCTTATGGTACAACTTTGAGTTAAAGCTGGTCCTTCTAAGGGTGGCAAAATGGCATACGTACCGTGACTACTGCTGCCAGGCTGCGTACACGTGTTCCCAGGGGACCTAAACAATGTCCCACTTTTGAGCAGCTCCAGCTGTTAATGTTTTTCTCTTCATGGAGAGGTTTTGGGTTTCCTGGTGGTGCTGTAGAATGGGTACTGGACTGCTAACCACAAGGTCAGAAGTTCAAACCCAGCAACCATTCCAAGGGAGAAAGATGAGGCTTTCTGCCCTGGAAAGAGCTACAGCCTCAGGAACCTATAGAGCGTCGCTGTGAGTTAGAACTGACTCAATGGCAGTAGGTCTGCTCTGGGTGGGTCTTAGGTCCCTGGGAGCCTCTCCTGGGAACCTGAAGGAGGGGGCTGTTTCAGAGGGTTCACCAACGAAAGCAAGATTAGTTAGTGTGGCTTTTGGTATTTAAAACCACCCAGATGATTTCAGGGACGTTTCCTTCCATGTTTTCTGAGGAAGGCATGTAAATGCATGTGGTATTCCTGTTTCCATTAACTCTGTGTGTGGTGTCGCTGTAGGAGCGTCAGGAAGCAGAGAAAATGTTCAAGGGCAAACGGGGTGCACAACTTGCAAAGGATATTGCCAGGAGAAGCAAAACGTAAGATACGGATCCAACTTCACTCCACTTCACCTTCAGAAACACTGTTTGGCAGTATGCCTCCTACAAATTCAACAAAATGCTGTGACTGATCTGGTATTAAATTTGGGTGCTGGTGGTCTGTGACCCCATCAGTGTTCTGTACATCCATGAAATGCCCAGGTCAGCAGAACAGATATTGGCATAATCAGTCTTAATGTGATACTATATTTGTCCTGCTTTCTCTATAGGAAGATAAACCGGGTAGTGTTTCTGAAGGAGAGCTTTTGTATCAGTTTGTTAACAAAGATAAGATACTACACTGGTTGAAATACTTTCAAAAGCTTTTGAAAGTAAGAGAAGCAGTTTCTGCGGTGTGACTTTAATGGTTATGTTCTTCCTCTCTTCTCAAGTTTTAATCCAGGCGCTGCTTTACCAGCCGACAAAAAGAAAGGTGGGCCATCTCCAGGGGACGTGGAGGCAATTAAGGTAACGTGTTAGAGCTCTCAGACTGCAGGAATGAAGTGGGATGAGGACACAGGTGTAAAACCAACTTCTGAACCTTGTAGGTTCCATTTTGTACAGCTGTTAAAAATCCAACTACACTTCTGTTCAGAACAGGCTAGCTTTAACTTGAATGAGTTACAAGCACCATAACCAGTCAAAGCAAGGCAGCTCTGGTAGTTTTCGTGTTCCCAGGATGCATTTACTACGGAACACCTGGGACAGTTACCGTGGTATGTTAGCTGCTGTTTGCCTCCCTGCTTGCTTTCAGATACTGAATGCATCTAGTACCTATGTTTGAACTTATCAGTGAGAAGTCAGAATTTAAAATACTGCCTCCTAAGTTATCCAGTTATGTAAGACCAAATACGTACTTCAAAAGTTGCTCTGAATTTTTGTTTCTCTTTAATTAATTGACCATCTCCGTTGCGTTCTCCCGTGCAGAATGCTATAGCAAATGCCTCCACGCTGGCTGAAGTGGAGAGGCTGAAGGGGCTGCTGCAGTCTGGACAGATACCTGGAAGAGAACGCCGGTCAGGTAAGAAGGTGGTCTCAGTCTCTGAAAGTCAGATACCTTAGAAAGGCAGAATGGGGCCACATTCCCGTCTAACCTAATGTGCACAAAAGCCCTATAAGTGCTCTCTGAAGACGAAGATTTGGATAGAAAGTGTGGGTATGTTTGTGTGTGAAAGTTCACACAATGATTACTTAGCTATGGCATGAAACCAGACTGTCAGGGTAGCCATGTGGAGTTTTATCCATGTCTAAGGTAACTTGGTCAGTAAGAAACAGGCTCCTCATCTTAGTGTCACTGCTGTGTCTTTGGGCAAGTTTTCTAACCCTAAGTCTTTCTTTTGTTATATCTTTAAACCTGGAATAAGGACCTCTGGTGGTAAGCACAAGGTCAGTGGTTGTAACGCATCACCTCCACTGCAGGAGAGAGATGAGGTGGTTGCCTCCCATAAAAAAGGTTTACAGTCTCAGAAACCCTACGTATAGAGCGGTTCTGAGTTGAAATTGACTTGATGGCACTGGGTGTGAGGGTTAGAAACCTGAGATGAGAATAGTACCACCCGGAAAAGATGATTGAGTGTGTGGGGGGCGCCTCACACAGGCCTGGCATTGAGAGGCTGTAACCAGTGCCCGGTATTCTAAATATTTGAGTGCTTGCTTGGTGTCAGGCAGCAGGTTGAGCATTGGGAACAATGAAACTGGTTGGACCTACCTTGATGATTAGATTGTGTCTATAGAATTGTGCTCCCGAGAGTTTTCCATACTCACAAGGAGTTCTCCAAGCCTTTCATCTCAGGGGCCTCTGAGTGGAGGTCCACCTCCAAGCTTTCCTTTGACAGCTGAGTTTGGAAACTCACTAGGCCACCTCGACACACAAAGAACATAATGTTGTTGTTGTAACATGCCGTCGAGTCAGTTCTGACTCATAGTGACCCTGTACAGGGCTTCCGAGAAGCCGCGGGTGGGTTTGAACTGCCGACCTTGTGGTTCACCGTCTAGTGCTGATCCTACAGCTCCACACCAGCAGTCCACAATCGTAATAGTGAGTTTAAAATACTTAATATAAGCTGTTTATTGTGGTACTGTAGGGTCAGCACTGGACTAATCTCAAGGTTGGCAGTTCAGACCCACCAGCCGTTCCTCAGAAGCCTTATACAGGGTCACAATGGACTCAACAGCACCTAACAATAACATCTCGAGTGGCAGCTCTGGGGAAGATAAGGTTTGAGCTGAGTTTAAAATGCAATGATTGCACAAGACTTCTGACGCCAGCTACCTGGAGGTTGGTTGAATTTCACAGATTAAAGAAGGCACACACAGGCTTCTAGTTGCTAGGTGAATTGTTCCCAGGACCACGCTGACATCATGTGTCTGAAGAGAACCGTGCTCCATACAGTTTTCAGTGCCTGCATTTTTAGAAGTAGATCATCAGGCCTTTTTTTCTAAGGGACCACTGAGTGGACTCGAACCTCCAATCTATTGGTTAGCAAATGAGCGTGCTGACCATTTGCACCACCCAGGTACTTTGCTGTCATAATGTTATTGTTGTTGTTAATTATCGTGGAGTCGGTTCTGACTCATAGCGACCTTGTACAGGGTTTCTGAGGCTGTAAATCTTTACAGAAGCAGAAAGCCTCATCTTTCTCCTGCGGAACAGCTGGTAGTTTCGAACTGCCGACCTTGAGGTTTGCAGCCCAATTCGTAACCACTACGCTACCAGAGCTCCTCATAATAGCACATGTAAAAGAAAGTTTTACTGTAGAGGGTCCCTGATGATGACGTGAACCTCACTCGTTTTATTAAATGTCACATCTTGATATTCTGGTGGTAGAATGGGAGGTTCATAAGAAGCAAGCACTTGCGAAGCCCTAAGTCGTGTGATTTTTCCCATTGAAACTACTTGTACAGTTGTGTCCTTTGAGAAGCAGATATTTTCTTGAACGTGGATGAAGTTAGCCTGTGACTTCAAGGAAAACAACTGACAGTATTTATTGTCAGTGCTAAAATTGAGATTTCAGACAAAACAAGATAATTTGGAAAACTTGTATCTGCGGCTGTGACCTTGGCTCCATCCCATTCTGCAGTCTTCTGAGGAGATCAGTTAATCATGTTTTATATTATGTAATGGAATGGATCAGTGTTTTTAAGATCTGAATAACTCATTGAGCCAGTATTTTTCCAAATGAAGAATCTTGTGTGGTTAATAAAATACAAGATGTTGTTGTTAGGTGCCATTGAGTTGGTACCGACTCATAGCGACCCTATGCACAACAAAACAAAACACTGCCTGGTCCTGGGCTAACCTCACAATTGTTGCCACGCTTGAGCCCATTGATGCTGCCACTTTGCCAATCCATCTGGCTGGGAGTCTTCCTGTTTTTCTCTGACCCTCCACTTTACCAAGTGGATTTTCACATAAACTAATACAGAAAGCCTATTGGTGGGGTTTCAGACATCACAGGGCAAACGGACTTAAGAATAAGGACATCCACAGTTACCTGCTACCACTATTAACTCTTAGACTGTCACCTCCTATGAGGCCAGAACTTCTTCATATTCTTCATCCAAAGCAGTTCTGTTATAAGTGATCAAATACTGAAGCCAGTAGGAGAAATTGCTGACTTCTAAGTCTGACATTACAGATATGTGCAAAAGTGTAAAATAATGCCAGTCTTTCACTAAACTGTTGTTTTTACTATCGGTGTATAGACCTTGTTTTACTGAGCTGCTAGTTTTTACAAATGCTCAGCTTCAATTTCTATTACGGTCAGTTTATTTAGCTAAATGCCATCCACATAAACAAGCTTACTAGGTCTTGAGACTAAAAGTTTTGAGAGCAGTGGCAGTAGTCTAGGGTTTTAGGCTTGTGGTTACAGGAACTCAGCACCCTTGAAAAGAGGTGAGCTGGAGGAGGATCAGGGTGGGTGGGTGAAGCCGAAGATGGGAAACTAGAGAGTCAGCACTCGCCAGCCATGCAGGGCAGTAGGCCACGTGAAAGATTAGATGAGGTCACTAGTCTTGAGAAATGTGAAATCCATAGAAGGCTTTTAAGGTTCACTGCTACCAGAGGTTGGAGAAAGGGAGGTATAGTAACAAATTTGTTGATTCTGAACAGTCTTCTCAGCATCTAGTGTGTAGTTGTTGTTGTTGTTGTTGTTAAGTGCCATCGAGTCAATTCCGACCCATAGCGACCCTGTATATGGTTTCCGTGGAGCAGCTGGTGAGCTTGAACCGCTGACCTTGCAGTTCAAATGGCTTTGCAACACATTAACTCACAGCGCCACACTAGGACTCCCTGGTGTATTGTTGTTGTTATGTGCCATCGAGTCGGTTCCGACCCATAGTGACCCTGTATAGGGTTTCCGAGGGTGTACATCTTTACGGGAGTAGAAAGCCTCATCTTTCTCCCGCGGAGCAGCTGGTAGTTTCGAACCGCTGACCTTAAGGTTCACAGCCCGATTCGTAACCACTACGCTACCAGAGCCAATAATTGTAGGTGCCAATAATTGTGTTTTCTGCTTGTGGTTGTAGCAAGACCAAAATGCTAAGTATAAATTTTTAACCTCAGAAAAATGAATTATAAAAAACACAAATGTATTACAGAGCAGCATGGGTTGCAGTGAGAGGGACATCCGTACAGCCTTCTTGTGGTCCCTTTCCTTCGGTATTGACCGTCCGGACGTCTAATAACTGGAGGGCAGGCTCATCAGATGATAAAGCTCCCAGACAAAGGCAGGGGCTCTCCTCATTCCTTTGTGCCGAGTCCAGAACCCCGCACATGAGATGCACTCACATGTGCAGCAGACAACTGACCTGAAACTTGACGTGACTTCTGATTGTGTGTTTCCTCTTAGGGCCCCCCGATGACGGTGAAGAGGAGATGGAAGCAGACCCCGTCCCCAATGGGTCCTGAGCACTGTGCTCAGGCTGGTACACGATGTGGAAGAATGCCATTTGGGATCAGGCGTCTTGGTTTTTGAACATGGAACAATTTTATTTGTGTCTGCAAGGTGGAATTCACACGTATTGATGAAATGCACAAAACTGTTGCTGGTCATTTTCTAATGTAAATTTTGAAATCTAACTGTCAGTTTTCTACATAGAGTAAAATTAAAAGTACACTCACTGTGCTCTCAAATTGCATGTCTTCATGAGTACTTGTGGTCATGGGGGCTGGGGCTGAAGTTCGAAGTCTAGTAGCACGTCTCAGGTAGTCCTCTCTGAAATGTTTTCATTTTGAATTTCAAGATTGTCCATCTTGCTACCAATGGTTATCAGTAAACTCCAGCCATCTCTGATGAGTGTGTGCTTTCTGCAGAGTAGCAGTGAGTTCCTTACAGGCAGCGAGGCTTCATGACCCTTTCCATGTAACCCCTTCCATACGGACATCATGCAAATTAAATTAATAAATTGTTGTTAAGTGCCATCGAGTTGGTTCCTACCCACAGCAACCCTGTAGAGGGTTTCCAAGAAGCAGCTGGTGATCTTGAACCACCAACCTTGCAGTTCAAACCGACTTTGCAGTCTAGTGCATTAACCCACAGCGCCACACCGGGACTCAATAAATTACTGACTTGCAAAAATACAGAGGGGAAACGTGACTTCAGCTTGTAGGGTGAAGGGGTTTGAGGAGAGGGGATGGGAGGGGAACTATAACTATGGCTTACCTGGTGGACAGACGAAGACCTGATGTACTCAGAGCTCCTAAACAGTTGATTCCACTTAGACTCATGTGAAAACAACATGGTACTCGTGGGGTGAGGTAGGGGCATGGAGTGTGGACAGACACTATCCACAGTTTCTCATGTGGCATTCACGGCTCTAGTTTCTCAGCCCAGAGTCAATGATGTCCTTCACCCTAATTAGAGGGGGCTTTTTAACCCTGACTGAATCTTGCAATTGTTGGTAAGTGCTATTGAGTCTGTTCTGACTCAGAGCGACCCTGTATAGTGTTGCCAAGAATCAGCCTGGTAGGCTTGAACTGCAAACCTTGTGGATATTATCACCTTAGTTAGTGGTTCTGTAAGTCTAACTGAATATTAGAGTTCATGGGAAGGATATTTTTAAACCAGTGCCTTGGGTGCCTCATTAAGTTTTTGTATTTTTTTTAACTTTTGATTATGAATTGAGTGATGGTTTACAGACAAAATTACTAGTTTTACATTCAACAAATCACACACTTTGTCTCATCTCAGTGATTTTACATTCAACGAATCACACACTTTGTCTCGTCTCAGTGATTGCATCCCCTCTCTAAGCAGCAGTTCTGCTTCCTCCCTGTGCTGCTTAGTTTCATTCCACCCACAGTCCAATCCCTTCTCACCTTTGCCCTTTTGATTTTGAATGACTGACTATTCCATCACTTACAGTGAGCACAGCTCACTAGTGCGATCTCCCCTATATGCCTTTCTACTGCTTGGCTGAAAGTTGGGCCACAAGAGTGAGTTCCTTTATAGACCTGAAGGGTGGTTGAGGGCTATAGTCTCAGGTTCCTCCGGTCTCTTTATGATCAGTAAACCTGGTCTTTTTTTCTTTAATAACTTTGAGTTTTATTCCACATACTCTGCTGCTCTGTATGGACCTTCTAAGATGATCCCTTTTAGAGCAGTTGGTAATCGGAGCCAGGCGCCATTTAGTTCTGGTCTTAAAGAGTTGTGGAGACTGATGTTCACACATTCCACTCATCCTAATTGATACTAAGACTTTTCAGTTCTCATCACTCTTCTGCATGTGGAGATACCAGTAACCCCCGTAGACAACAGCTCATGAGCTTTCAATATCCCAGATGCAACTCACCAAAGTAGGATGTAGAACATTGTCTTTGTGGACAGTGTAATGCCAGTTGACCCTGGTGTTCCCTGAGACTATCATGCTGAGCACCTAGACCTATCAATTTATTGATCACTTTAAGATGTTACATAATATTTAGATTTTCACCATTTTGCCAACTGTATGCACCACCACATGATAGTTGTGTGTGCAGGAAAAGTAAATACCCTTTTTCAAACTTAAATATTTGTTGTTAAGTATACTATCAAGTTGACTCCAACTCAGTGATCCTGAAAAGAATTTGCAAGGAGTGGCTGGTGAGTTTGAACCACTGACAACAAAACGTGTGTGCGTGTGTGTGTGCGTGTGTGCGTGTGTGTGTGTGTGTATATAGATGTACTTTTTTTCCCCCATATACAATCAGCCTGTCTCTGGCTGTGTCTACCTACAGAACATTGTTGTTCAGGGTTGCTAGGTACCATTGAGGTGGTACTGACCGGAAACACTGCTCAGTCTTGGGTCAACTTCACAATTGTTAAGCCTGAGTCCATCAATGCTGCCACTGTGCCAATCCATCTCATTGGGGGTCCTTTTTTTCTCTGGCCCTCCACTTTACCAAGCATGATATTCTTATCCAGGGACTGATCCCTCCTGATAACATCCGAAGTATGAGAGACGAAATTTGGCCATCCTGGCTTCTACAGAGCACTCTGGTGAAACTTCTTCCAACAAAGATATGTGTGTTCTTTTGGCAGTCCATGGTACTTTTAATATTCTCCTCCAACACCATAATTCAAATGCATCAATTTTTCTGCGGTCTTCCTTGTTCACTGTCCGACTTTCACATACATAAAAGGTTACTGAAAATACCAATGCTTGGGTCAGGCAGACCTTAGTCCTCACACTGACATTTTTGTTCTTCAACTCTTTAAAGAGGTCTTCTACAGCAGATTTGCCTAATGCCTTTTTGACTGCTACTTCCATGAGTGTTGACGGTTGATCCCAGCAAAATAAAGTCTTGGACAACTTCAATGTTTTCTCCATATCTATGGATGTTGTTTATTGGTCCAGTGGTGAGGATTTTTGTTTTCTTGACATTGAGGTGCAACCTATATTGAAGGCTGTGTTCTTTGATCTTCATCAGTAAGTATGTCAAGTCCTCTTCGCTTTCAGCAAGCAATGTGCCATCTGCATATCTCAGATTATTAATGAGTCTTCCTCCAATTCTGATGCCACATTTTTCTTTATATAATCCAGCTACTCAGATTATTTGTTCAGCATGCAGACTGGATTAACTATGGTGAAAGAATACAACCCTGGCACATACCTTTCCTAATTTTAAACCATTCGGTGTTCTCTTATTCTGTTTGAAAAATACCACTTGGTCCATATACAGGTTCCTCATGAGCACAATTAAGTGTTCCGGAATACTCATACTTCGCAATGTTGTCCATAGCATATCATGATCCACGCAATCAAAAACCTTTAGGCAGTCAATAAAGCACAGGTAAACATCTTTCTGGTATTCTCTGTTTTCAGCCAATATTCATCTCGACGTCAGCAATGATATCCAAAAGAGTTCCACATCCTTTTCTGAATCTGGCTTGAACCTCTGGAAGTTCTCTGTCAATGTATGTTTGCGGTTGTTTCTGTATTAACTCTAGTTAAACTTTACTCGCATGGGATGTCAAAAGATATTGTCCAATGATTTCCGCATTCCACTGGGTCACCTCTCTGGGATGGGCACAAATACAGATCGCTTCCAATCGGTTGACCAGGTGTCTTCCAAACCTCTCAGCATAGATGAGTGAGTGCCTCCAGTGCCACATCAGTTAGTTGAAAGATTACAATTTCTAGTCCATCAATTCCTGGTGCCTTGTTCTTTGCCAATGCCTTCAATGCACTTTGGACTTCCTCCTTCAGGATCATTGGCTCTTGGTCATATGCTGCTTCTTGAAATGGTTAAACATGGACCATTTCTTGTTGGTACAGTGACTCTGTATTTCTTCCATCTTCTTTTAATGCTTTCTGTATTATTCAATAATTTCCGCAAAGAATCCTTCAATAACAAAAGTCGAGGCTTAAATTTTTTCTTCAGTTCCCTCAGCTTGAAAAATGCTGAGCATGTTCTTTCCTTTTGGTTTTCTAAGTCCAGGTCTTTTTTGCACATTTCATTATACTATTTCACTTTGTCTTTGAAATTTTCTGTTCAGCTCTTGTACTTCCTTATTTCTTCTATTTGTTTTAGCATCTCTATGCTGCATGGCAAGTGTCAGAGTCTCTTCTGACATCCATTTTGGTCTTTTCCTTCTTTCCTGTCTTTTTTTTCCTTTTGCTTTCTTTCTATATGATGTTCCTGATGTCATCCCACAACTCTTCTGGCCTTCAGTCTTTAGTGTCTATTGTATCAAATCTGTTCTTCAGATGATCTCTAAATTCAGGTGAGATATATTCAAGGTCATGTTTTGATTTTCATGCACTTGTTTTCATTTTCTTCAGCTGCAGCTTGAATTTGCATATGAGCAATTGATGGTCTGTTCCACAGTCTGCCCCTGTCCTTGTTTTCACTGAGGATATGGAGCTTTTCCATTGTCTCTTTCTGCAGATGTAGTCAATTTGATTTCTGTGTATTCCATCTGGTGAGGTCCAAGTGCATAGTCATCTTTTATGTTGTTTAAAAAATGTATTTGCAATGAACAAGTCATTGGTCTTAACAAAATTCTATCATACAATCTCCAGCATCATTTCTATCACCAGGGCCATATTTTCCAACCACTAATCCTTCCTTTTTGTTTCCAACCTTTCATGCCAATCGCCAGTAGTTATCAATACATCTTGATTGCATCATTGATCGATTTCAGATTGAAGAAATTGGTAGAATTCTTCAATTTCATCATCAGTGGTTGTAGTGATTGGTGTGTAAATTTTAATAATCGTGGTATTAACTGGCCTTCCCTGTAGGCATACGGATATTATCCTATCACAGTGTTGTACTTCATGACAAATCTCGATATATTCTTTTTGATGATGAATATGACACCATTCTTCAATTTGTCATTCCTGGCATAGTAAACCATGTGAATGTCTGATTCAAAATGGTCTATCCCAGTCTATTTCAGCTCACTAATGCCTAGGATATCAATG